ACACAGTGTTCACTATTATTCTTGAACTTGTAACTCTGAAATTTCAAAAAATAGAGTTGAAGATAAAAGGTGAAACTTCAAATTTTCTGTTTTTTTCAATAGCTATCAGACATAGTCTTTTCAGTGCCTATGTTTATAAATCTAGCTGGAATCAAAGGGTATTTGTTGATTTTTTTTAAAACAGGGTATAAAACATGGCAGCAAACAACACATAATGTATCCAAGGAATAGCCCATACTTTATTAGGTGCTATGAGAATTCTAGTAAAATTCACATGCTGTCCTCTATTTTTAAGGAGCTTAAAATTTGCTAAGAAATAGATAAAATTCAATGTTCAATTCCTATGGATCATTAACAGTATTCTAAACACTGAGTAAACTTGCTGGTAGACAGGACATATTTAACTAAAATTGTAATTCACTTTAATATACAGGATTTCACCATTAGGTGTTTCTCCCACTCTATTTCAAAAGATTTAAAAATTTTCTTATAATTTTAATATATTTCACTATGAATGCAGTGAGGTTGCGTTATGTAGACATTTTATTTCCATGAATTCAACCATAAGCACTCAGGGAGAAAAACAGGATTTCAACAGGCTAGACACCATTCCACTAAATAAGCACACCTTCCCCATGGAGCACCAAGCAAAAGTACGAGAAGGGAGCTGTCCAGTTACATATGCTTCTCTCCCTGTGTGCATCTTGCCATGCTCTGATCCTAGAATTTAAAGTATTTTTGTGTAACAAAGCCCCTAATGCAAGCCAACTTCTTCATCTGGTGCTCAACTAAAGAAATTTATTTTTTAAGTTTTTGAAGGAAAAACTAGCTGTTTTACACTTCTGTGAGATGGAATGAATGTATATCATAATCTATGATCACTTTAAGGAATTTTTAAGGGTAATTTTAATTAAAACCTATTTTTTTTGGTCACATGTGCTAATTTCACAACCTAACTCAATCCTGACATGAAACTCCAACGTAAAGGTACTCTATTTCACTGCTATGGCAAGAACATGACACACTTTACAGCAAGGATGACTTCTTTCTAAAGGCTACATTCAGAAACCTATTCCTCAAATCTAAGTCTACGGCATATACTTTTTTTTTTTTTAAAGATTTTTCCTTTTTCTCCCCAAAGCCCCCTGGTACACAGTTGTGTATTTTTTTTAGTTGTGGGTCCTTCTAGTTGTGCTATGTGGGACGCTGCCTCAGCATGGCTTGATGAGCGGTGCCATGTCTGCACCCAGGATCTGAACCTGTGAAACCCTGGACCGCCAAAGCAGAGCATGTGAACTTAACCACTAAGCCACAGGGCTGGCCCCCATACATTTCTTTTTAATTACTCCTGAGTCCCCAAACTTGCATTTTTTCTCTGGATTATTTATCTTGCTCTAACCCAACTTTCTACATTCTTCTACTCATAGAATCAGAGCTAGAGGAAACAGAAGCCACATAATCTGTCCCTCCCTCTAAGCTCATTGACCTATTGACTGGAGACTTCCATTTACACGTTCCACGTTAAAATAAATTCCTCACTCTCCAACTAATACGAATTTTTACAGGAAGGTAAAAATTTAATTGTACATGGCTTTAAAAAGACAATCTTTAGGGGCCAGCCCAATGGCCCAGTGGTTAAGTTCAGTGCGCTCTGCTTCAGATGCCAGGGTTTGGTTCCCGGCATGGACCTACACCACTCGTCAGTAGCCACGCTGTGGTGGTAGCTCACACACAAGACAGCGGAAGACTGGCACAGATGTTAGCTCAGGGTGAATCTTCCTCAGGAGAAAAAAAAAAGGAGAATTTTTATAAAGTGATACTAAAACAATACAGTGAAAAAAGCATCTCTTTGGCATTTAGAATCCTCAACAGTGACTAAGCTCTGAACCCTAATGAATAGAACAGTTTTAATACTTCTCAATGATCTCCACAGGAACATCAGGAAATCTCATAAAATTGGGCCTCTTCCTTAGAAAATTTATCTTTTAATACAATTATTTTCTAATGTTATTCTGTGGTCTCTTATTTTTATAATCCTTATCCCTGATGTTTTATATTTTAACTCTTTTGTTTAAAATAAAAAGCCATATACAGGATTGAAATTTTTTAACATAAACTGCAATAAATTTTAGAAATTCTATTTAAAACTTTTGATCTAGGTTTTCAGAAAATAAAAAGGTGAAAATAATTTTTCATTTTCTGAATGAGGTCTAAACACTGAGGGGTTTGATGTTGAGACTATTTGTCTAGTATCAGCCTAGACTAAGTCACTGATGCAAAAAGTTCTGTGACGTCAGGATATAATTTCCTAAAGCCCATTTCTTCATGGTATACACTCTTTATTTTCTTTTAAAATATTAGTGCAGAACGACAAATGCGTTTTACACTAAGATTTAAAAGGGACCTTTCAGATCTTTGACTTAAAGCCATAAATCTAAGAACCATGGTTTAACGACCTTAACTAAAGTGCAAAATTCTTTATAAAATTCTAACTAAATACAAAGATGTTGCTGTCACATACTAAGGAAGCATTATTCATAGACTTCTTTGAGAATCTAATGAAAGCTAAGAGGCCTCTTTCTAGAAAATTCCACACATGCACTACACACAAAATTTGAACACAATGTCAAGGAGAGGAGTCATCACAGAATCTATCAACCCAAGGGAAATAACTGCTATCACTGATTACATGGGAAGACAGTCTTCAAACACAAATCTTTTGGTATTCGTACACACTCCTATAAGAATAAGGCTATCAGACTGGCATCTGGAGTTTGAAGACGTAGGTGAATGCTGCGATACCTTCTGTGCCGTGGCACCGTAACTGCTCCAAGGCCACAACAGCCTGGTTCAGCTAATTGTCCAGCCCTGCTCTGCAGTCCCTTGAGACATGAGACCCTGTGCCACCTCACCCCTATTATCATCTACTCCTTTTTTCATCTAGACACTGCAAGCTGCTTTGACTTCAGCTACTGACAAGTAGCCATCCAGTCTGCCCTCTAATACCCTCAATGACACAATTTAAGCTTTCAGAAGGCAGACCAGGCCAATTTTAGGCAACTCTGAAGAATTACAAAGTTCTTTTCTGATCTGATTGGCCTGGTCCCTAAGTTCTAAATGCTGCCCTCCTGAATTTCTCCTCTATTTACTTGCCAACAGGTAACAAAACAGCTTTCCATTCAAAGCACCTAATCCTAAAGTCAGGAGCAACAGTTTAGCTCTACTTTTACCAAACAGGAAAGTCAGAATTATGCTGAAAAGCACTTTCTATTTGGAAGTCAAAATATAAGAAGGTCAGTTCTGGTTCAGTTCAAGATAGATGCAAGGTTTCCAGGTACACAGCATTTCCTACGTTAATGGGCTTCTTTTCACTGCATAAAAAATTAAAAATGCATCAACATTAAAAGATTTATAGGTACTTAAAATTAGTATCAGTTCTGTCAGCAAGTAGTTTATTCTCTGTATTTCTATTTCTGCCTGTAATTTTGTAACAAACAGTCCTAATCAATGCAATATAAATACAGAAGCCATTACTTAATTAGATAAAAACTGGCTTTCAAGAACTAGAAGTTGTCTCAGTCACCTTCAACAGCTCCTTTCTCACAATAAGAAATATCTCCTATTGAAACCAGTATATTGATAAGGTCCATTTTTCACGCATAAAGCATGCAAATGATTGTTTCCTTTGAAAACAAAAGAAACAGCAACAATTACACGTGATATTTTCTTGCTGGACAAAAAAGGTTCACAAATATTTGCAAACCGCGATTGATTTAGTCAAATCACTTAAGAGCAATGTTAACCAAAAGTTAATTGTATAAAAAATACAGCAAAATCTCATTTTCAAGGGGCTTCCCAGAGGGCTCTCTTCCGGGGCTGTGTCTCAGCGTCAAACAACGCAGAGTCCTAAGCAGGAGGCTGTCTTGTAAGGAGCTTCTTTTTGGTCCTTCAATTATTAAACTTCCTGCAAGGATACAAAAAACGTCCACCGAAACGAATTCTGTCTTATTTTGCAAATTGCTTGGGGGCACTATTTGGGTAAGTGTATATGGAAAGTATACAACAATCCCCGGGTTAAAAATGCATTTCCTGATCAAAAACCACTCCGCCACTCTTCCAGAGTAGCTTAAACAACGAATGCTGCGTTTCAACAAGATCCCCCGCAAAGAGCTTAAAAAGACAAGGCCACACACGTCACCTTATCAGAACTGCATCACACACAAAAGGCACATTAAAGCTCAGCAAGACTGTCCTCCGGGCATTTATCTTGTGATAAAATCCTCCAGTGAATCATTTCAGTTGATTCTTTCAGCTGAAAATGTTTTTATCCATCACAAACAAAATATGTACTGCAAAACTTTCTTATACCTCATTTTGTTGAATATTTAAAACTGAGTCAGTTAAAAATCGATCCGCTATATATTTGTACCCGAGCAAACACTCTCAATCTCGAATTAGTTTAATCCTGTCTTCTTTTCCACATAAAATTCTTTCACTAGCTTGTCATTAATAGAAAAACCGAACGCTCGACACAGCTTCCCGAGAGGGCAGCCCGCGAGGACCAGGCTCCGCACCGGCGCCGGAGCCGCAATTTTCCACCACGGTTTCTTCTTAAATAGATTTTGCATCATCCTCCATGCTAAACGTCACCAACTTTCAGATCCTTTGAAGATTCGCTGATAAGCGCAAGCCTGTGATACCCCCGTCGCGTTCTCTTGCGCGCTACTCCCATTTCTTTTAATGCGAAGAACTAAGTGTTTTCTCCCGTTAACTACGCAATTAAGTTTATTAACGGGGAGGCTGCAATCACCACATTATGAATATTTCAGAAAGTAACAAAACAAAACAAGACGCAAAGAGGAAAAGGTCCATTTGCTTAAACACTGAAAGCTCTTACTTTCTTGAAGTATTTGCGGGACGCCGAGCCAGATTTCCAAAGCGGCCCTCCCCCACCGCCGGCCGCCCCTCCCCCCGTCCGGAAGGTCGCCGCCGGCACTCACCGAGCTTCTCCACCAACTTGAGCATCACCCCTCCGATGTGCACCTCCCCGGTCACTCTGAGGGTGACATCGCGGCTCAGGTCCGTCACATGCACGCTCAGTTCCCACGTCCCGTCCGCGTAGCAGCCATCCGGCATCCTGATCCCGTCCAGGGCCATGGCTCCTTCCTGCGCGCACGGAGGAAACGGATCTCGTCAGCGTCCCTCCCCCAGGCCGGCAAAGCCCACCGAAGCGGCCGCGCGCGGCGCGAGGCGAGGCCGGGGCTCCGCCCGAGCTGGGCCGCGGCGGGGCAGGACGGGGCGCCCGCGGCCCTCCCCCTCCAGGCCCGCCGCCCGGCCCAGCGCCCCCGCCTAGCGGCCCGCGCGGCCCCCGCCCCTCGAGCGCCGCGCCCGCCGGCGGCGCCGCCCCGGCCCGCACCTCCCGCCGCCGCGCGCCCCGGCCGCCGGCCCTCACCGCGCTCCTCGCGCTCCCGGCCAGAGGCTCGCGCGGCGGCGGGCCGGGGCCTCCTCAGCCGGCGACGCGCTGCTCCCGGCCGAGCGACTAATGGAGTCCGGCCGCGCAGCCCCTCGCCTCCCTCCGCGCGCTCCACCCCTGCTCCCCGCCCCTCAGTCCAGCCCGGCGGGCAGGGCGCCTGCTCCCTCCTCCCCGCCGCCCGCGCCCCGGCCGCGCGGCCCACGCCCCTCCCCCACGTCCCGCGCGGCCGCGCTCAGGGCGGGGGTCCGCGGGGGCCGCGCTCGGGGCGGGGGGTGGCTGCGGGGGCCGCGCTCGGGGCGTGGGGGTCCGCGGGGACCGCGCTCGGGGCTGGGGGCTGCGGGGGCCGCGCTCGGGGCTGGGGGGCCGCGGGGGCCGCGCTCGGGGCTGGAGCGCCTTGGGGGCCGCGCTCGGGGGGGCGGGGGGCGTCGGGGGTCCGCGTGGCCCCCGGGCTGGGGGCGGGGCGGCGCGGGAGCTGTGCGGGGGAGGCGGGGAGCCGCGGCGGCAGCAATCTCGGCCGCGGCGAGCCACTGCCCTTTTATGGAAATGAAGGACCCGGCGCAGGGATGGAATCCAACATCCGGGCTCTCGGCAGCGGGACCTGAGGAGGGGAGCGAGGGGGGCGCAGGGGGGCGCAGGGGGGCGCGGGTGGGCGGCGGGGCACTCCCTCCGGCGCTCGCGGCTGCGGCTTTGCAAGGCCCGGCGGCGGTGGGCGTCTGCGCTCCCAGGCGGGGGAGGGGGCTCGTCCGTGAGAAATGGCCGCAGGAAGTTCCCAGGGCAAGGTCGTTTTGGGGGAAGAAAGTCCCCTCGCCTCCTCCCCACACCTGGAGCGAGTCCAGAAGTCTCCGGGCGGTGAGAAGTGTCGCGCTCCGGGAGCTGGAGAGAGGGGCTCGGGGCACAAAATCTTTAAAAAGTAAATGCCCAAGCCAGCTCCATGAACATCCCACAAAAGAATGCGAAAGCCCAGAGGGAGGTGAACCACAAAAATTGCTTTGCAAGCAGTGTCCGGCACAATCAGCAACTCCTACTGGACTCCCGAGAGTCTGCATGCGCTCTTAACCCATTCGGAAGCTCCAACCAGCGAGTCAAATGCATCCTACGATGCTCTTGTTTGAGGAAAAAAATTCAGTGTAGTGAGCGTTACTCAGAGACTTTCTCCAGCCTCTCCAGCTCTTTATACTGCACCTATTTGTGTATTTTCATATGCAACTTAGAACTAACAGTCTACTAAGGCTTTAGATGGATATGCATCCTCTACCCCGCCCTCAGCCACACCTAGAACGAATTTTAACAACTCTGGAACGGTGCCAGCAGGTACAGGGAGAAACTAAAGAACTGTACCTGTTGGGACTGACGAGTGATGGAGAACCACCGTCCTGCTTGCCCCTTTACTTACACTTCCTGTCTACTGCTGCGCTCTCCAGGGCGCTCTGTAAGGAAACAGCTTGCCAGGAAAACTGTCTCGCTGGCAAAAGCATGGCTCAAAACATTTAGGTCAGGAGTAAGGTATCCCAGGGGCCATAAAAGACTCAAACACTTTGAAGAGGAACCCACCAGGCAAATAACCCATCGTTTATCAACACAATTGGGAAACGAGGTTAGAGAGGCCTCAAGAAAGGGGTGGAACCCATAAAGAAGTGAAAGGAAAGTAGAGAAATTTAGTCAGATGCCAGAGGTTTGGCACAAAAAATAGGGAAAACCACTAGAGTATTTTCAGCTAGTCATCATGGAGAAATTGATGCCTTGAGTTTGTAGTCTCTTCACTCTCCAATTCTTTCTTTCTTTCTTTGAGGAAGATTAGCCCTGAGCTAACATCTTCCACCAATCCTCCTCTTTTTGCTGAGGAAGACTGGCCCTGAGCTAACATCCGTGCCCATCTTCCTCTACTTTATGTGTGGGATGCCTGCCACAGCATGGCTTGCCATATGGTGCCATGTCCACACCTGGGATCCGAACCAGCGAACCCCGGGCTGCCAAAGCGGCAACATGTGAACTTAACCTCTGTGCCCCTTGGCCGGCCCATTCTCCAATTATTTCTACTCATCGGAGTTCCAAATAGTTCACTTGGAAGCAATAGGAATGTCTGGAGAGGAGGGAATGTTTATGTAAATCATGGTGTTGAAAACATATAGGAAAATGTTTTTAATAAAATGGAGAATTGCCTGTTAGGGCAAGAAACTGTATAAAACTGTACATATGGCTGTAGAATCACAAGCTTATCTTTATTCACAGAAAAAAGACTGGAAGGAAATACATCAAGAAGCTTAAGTTAAGTTAAGTTAAGAAGCTGTCTGTATGTTGAGATCATGGGACATCTTTTTCCCTTCTGTTCTTCTTTATTTCCTACACATTCCAACACTTTGCACCCAAGACTTCTCTATCGACACCTCAAACTGCATGGAGCATCCGTTTCTCTGCACACGCCATTCCATTCTTGAGGAGAGACACAGCTGATAGAGCAGTTTCTGGACTCCTGGGAGGACTTTCATTTTGTGTTTTTTTAATATCCCTCAGTAAAACATGAGTTCTGTGAGAGCCGGGACTTCCAATTCTTTGCATTGCCCACAAATTTACAAATAGTTTGGCACAAAGAAAATGGAAAACATGCTGGTACCAAATCGGCGCAAATGTGAAGGAAAGAGCAGGGCTGCCCACGGAGAAAGCTCATTATTGGAGAAATCCTGGCTTTTAAATTTTACGTGTTTATTTCCACACCTTATCCCAAAAAGATGTATGGCAATGTATAAGGATGCATAAACTGTGAGATACATACATTATAAATGGCACAGAACAAGAAAAAAAAAGGCAGGAGGTGTAGGGATAGAGATTTAAAATGGAGCTGAGGATGAGGCTAAGACTTGTGCCTAAGGACCTTCACAAGTGCTCCAAGAAGCTCCGAGTAACTATGGCTTCTCAAACAAGCCCTTATAGAACCAAAAAGATCCATGTCCTTTCTGAATAGCCTCTTTCCTTCAGACAAATTTGTCGAAGCCAACTGTCCTCTCTCTCCAGTGAGTTACTTTCTGAACAACCTCCTGCCACAGTGCCTACTACTCTCACTGCTGCCCGCTTCCATGTTTCGTACATTTAGTGACACAGGGAGAGGGGCTTAATATCATAAATAACAGTTTCATTTCTTAACATCTGAAATAGCTTAATTATAGCTTTATAAGAGACTTTACTATCTTTAGAAAATCATCAGTTTATATTTGAGCAGAGTAACAGGAAGGCAGTGACCCTCCGTTACGTGCCATTGGAAGAATAATTAGATTAGGGTGGGTGCAGCTGGTCCCTTCAGGCCCTCTTTTTGAGTATTTCAAGCTGTTGCTTGCTTTGAAGATTAAAGAGGAGTCAGACTCGAATCTCTGAAACTGGGATTTTTTTTCTAGTTTATCAAGTGAGACCTTCAAGTGCATTTCTTAAATGTTTACTTCCACCTAATATTTTCCAGTGTTTTCAGATGTGGAATCTTATCTGAAATCCCCCACTGGAACCTCTAAGACAATGCAATACTTATGGAACTTACATCATACTGAAAAGGAGCCGAGAACTCCAGTGTTTGGAAGAACAGCTCAAGCAGTGAAAGCAGCAATATCCAAATAAGGTACTAAGCACTGGACTTAGATTTAGACCAAATGATACCTCACAGATCTGCCATCAAATGCAGCCCTCGGGCTTGGTAATCTGCAGGTTGACTTTAGCTTTTTCTCTGAACCCACTTAAACTGTGCTTTGAATTTCTAAGAGGTTAATAAAAAAAATATAACCACTGGGTTTGAAAGAAAGGGAGGTTGAGGGATAGGAGAAATAAGAGGTTTATGTGAGTGTGAATGTGTCAGGTGGTTAAAAATGTGCTTAAGATGCCATGTGAGGCCAGCAAGATAAAAGGCAATGAATTATTTCTGTTAAATACCCAGCGGGCAGAATTCTCTGTCTTGGGGTTTTAGGGGATAGAAAGTTTAAGGTTTAAGGGGGTAGAAATCTAGGGGCATGGAGTATGGACTAAGAACGGGAATGCAAGTTGCAGGGGCACTTTTTTTGGTAGAAGTAGGCAGTCACTGTAAACAGCAAGAAAAGGACTGGCAAACTGAGAAACAGGGACGATTTGCCAGGAGTGGGGCTGGTAAAGAGGGGCTCTGACAGAACAGTGAAATCTCTACTTCAAGGGGACAGAAATGCATTGCTTGCGTTTACTGCAGAAAACTGTGCTGGGTGACACTTTAAAAAAAAAATTTCCTCTGATTTAAGTTCAAATGTCACGGCAGCTTATGAAGTGCTCTACCCCTGACAAAAGTATGAAATGTTCACACATACACTTAGACAAACGGGGTAGTCAGTTAGCACTGTATGCTTAGCACAGAGCAGGGCACTGAGATAGACATGTAGACATATAACAGTCACAGGCTCCTAAGGAAATTCTGTCTAATGCAGGGAGCTTCTATTTAAAAAATCAGAAAGCGGGGCAGGCCGCATGGCTGAGTGGTTAAGTTGGAGCTCCTCTTCGGCGGCCTGGAGTTTTGCCAGTTCAGATCCTGGGCACAGACGTGGCACCACTCATCAGGCCATGTTGAGGCAGCATCCCACATAGCAGGGCCAGAAGGACCTACAGCTAGAATATACAACTATGTACTGGGGGGCTTTGGGGAGAAGAAGAAGAAAAAATAAATAAATAAATTGTACACTAAATTTAAATGTTCAGTTAAAAAAAGTTTAGACTAGAATTAGAGTACACAGCCAGATAAAATGGTTTGTTTAAAAAAAAAACTCAGAAAGGATATGCACACACCAAAAGAATAACATTAGAACCCTACCTTACAGCACATACAAAAATTAACTCAAAATGGACCATAGACCTAAATGTAAGATCTAAACTATAAAACTTTTTGAATAAAACATAGTAGTAAACCTTTGTGACCTTGGATTAGGCAATGGCTTCTTAGATAAGACATCAAAGCAAAAGCAACAAAAGAAAAACTAAGTTGGATTTTATCAAAGTTAAAAATGCATATATTCCGGAAGACAACATCAAAAATGTGAAAAAACAACTCAGAATGGGAAAAAATATTTGCAAATCATTTATCTTTTGAGAGACATATCTAGAATATATAAGGAGCTATTACAACTCAATAATAAGACAACCCAG